CCGACCTGCTGCATTACAGTTTAACCGTCGACTTAATTCAGTATAAATCATTTCGCCTTCATGTTAAAAAAATTAACACACCTTTCGTGTTAATATCTTGATCAAATCAAAATGAAGTAGCTTTTAAATCATGTATTTTTTTAAAAGGTGGAATTCATATTAAAGCTCAGGGAATGTTTCTTTAAAGATCTTACATGAATAACGCGTTAGAGTTATATTTGTACTTAATTTTTGTTCCCATTTTCCACGTTACATAGATTTTGAATTTTTTTATGATTCAAATCATAACTTCGTCAATATATAATCTAATGTACATTTTTTTTTATGAAACGTCTATTATAATCAACAATTCAATATTTGATTATCCCATTTTTGTTAAAATTCGGTAAAGGGATCTAGGATGATTGTTAATATATAATGAAGAATTATGTTGACCTTATTTTTTCTCATTTGTTAAACAATTTGATAATGACTGTAATTTTCTGTAGATATAAGAGCTGCTGGTCGAAAGAAACACCAAGATGCCTTGTATTTCAAATTCCTAATCTTCTAAAAGCAAACGAGATAGACTACTCAATATGATTCACAAATCGATGTTTTTTTCGTGAAACAATGTTTTTTTTTATGCAGAAAATGCAGCATGTATCTTTAAATGATTAATTCTAATGTTTTAAGTCACTTTTCTTTTTATCACCTTTGTAACTTAGCCCAAAGCTATTACTAGTGCCAAATTTAGTTCGTAAGCTTAAAGCTATTTTTCACTATCATTCTTATTCTTTATTTTTTATTTTTTGAAAATCTTGAGAAAAAAAATAACCCAGCGCCCTTCTACTTGCTTTTGAACGTGCAACAATAATGATAAAAATCTTTCTCCACCCTTACTACTCCTGTTTATATTCTTTGAATAGATTCTTTAGAAATGTGTATTTTCAAAGGGGTAGATTCTGGAAGTTGTCACCTGAAAACTTTTTGATAAAGAAAGAGAAAAAAAAATCATGATATCAAATTGTAAGTTATTGATATCGTTCAATTTCGTCCCAAATACATGTATAAAGAAAATGCTTTTAGGAGAAAACACATCTTGTATAGAAAATAAGAATTAAAAAAAAAATCTGGTAAGTTTTAAGAAAATCTCTAGTCCAATGTACTTTAAAATATTGTATACAGTTCTATTACTCAAATATAAGCCATATTTACCTGATTGAATATTTGCATTTTTTGTCCCATGAAATACAAGAAAGACTTATATATACTGAAAAATGCACGGTACTTATTCCTTGTAGATCATACAGTAGATTATAATGAAATGAAAATTATGAGAAAATAAACTTAAATTTATTAGATTTCATTAAATTCACTTCGCTTTATTATATACTATCAGGATTAAGATCGGAGTATATGTAAGATTTTGATTTTTGAGACATGACTCATGTAGTTGATGCATTTTTTTGTGGCCAAATATCGTAGTTTGGATCTAAACAAGTTTATAAGGTTATGTAATGTAAATGAATTATGAATCCATTATAACGTTCTTATTAATTCTTATTCATGTACCAAAGAATGAGATAAGGAAGTGAACTAAGACAAAACACTAAAGATTTTTTAGGTAAATTTTCAGTCTCCTTTTATCCTGTTATTACATTTATACACATTACCTTATTTGAATGGTGGCTTATATTTGAGTAAATTACATATGATATATCTTTATTACTTTAATTGAATGACGATTTAAAGAGAGAATAAAAAAACAAAGAAAAATATATAATGTATGGAATTTAGTTGCATTATGAATTTAATAAACACGTCAAGATTTTGTTACGTCCTTTTATATAACCCTTTACTGTACACTTTGACTGAAATTATTATAAGAAGGTTTGGTGGTCAGAGGTGTTCTCAGACCAAGGCCCCGAAAATGCGTTTATCAAAAGTTTTGGTTCTCAACCTTTTCTGCTCTGTGGCCCTCGACCAGTAGAGGAGAATCTCCATGTTCAGTGTATGTCATAGTTTCAGTTATTACTAGTTATGGATTGTGTAATGGTGCCAATAGCTATAGGACAACAACAACAACAAAAAAGTCAGAGAGGCGATCTCCAAGCTGAAGAGTGGTAATGCAGCAGGTGTTTACGGCATCCCAGCTGAACTGTTAAAGGCTGGTGGAGAACCTATGGCAAGGAGCTTGCATGCTGTCATGTCTGCCGTCTGGCAGACTGGTACCATTCCCCCTGACCTGCTGAGGAGTGTGGTCATCCCTCTCTGGAAGGGGAATGGGGATCAGTGGGACTGCAACAATCACTGAGGCATTACACTACTCAGTATACCAGGCAAGGTACTCGCGCACATCCTACTGAGACGTATCAGAGACCACCTGCTGAGGCACCAGAGGCCGGAGCAATCTGGATTCACTCCTGGTAAGTCCACAATAGACCGCATCCTGGCGCTTCGAGTCATTGTAGAGCGCCGTCGTGAGTTCGGGCTGCTCGCAGCTTACATTGACCTCAAGAAGGCGTTTGATACTGTAAAGTACTGTAAAGTGTGGTGGGGACCTCTCGAGCTTCTTCCCTGTTAGTTTAGGAGTGAGGCAAAGCTGTGATCTTGCACTAAAGTTTTTCAACACTTGCATGGACTGGATACTGGGTAGAGCTACTATCCAAAGTCAATGTGGTGCAACTCTGGGCAATATTAATGTTACAGACCTTGACTTTGCTGAGGATGTTGCCATTCTATCTGAATCTCTGGAAACCCTTGTGGCGGCTCTTGATGCATTTAGCAATGAAGCGAAGCCCCTGGGGCTAGAGGTGTCCTGGACCAGGACCAAGATCCAGGATTTTGGGGGCCTGCTAGGGGATCCTGTTCAGTCGGTACGTGCTTGCGGTGAGAACATCGAGGTCACAGAGAGCTTTATATACCTCGGTAGTGCAGTTCATGACTCCAGGTTGTCAGACCAGGAAGTCAGTAGACGGATTGGCATGACAGCAAAAGTCATGAAATCTCTCGACAAGAGTATTTGAAGATGCCGGTACCTGTGCAGAAGGACCAAGCTACGTGTCTTCAAGGCCCTGATACTACCAGTTTTACTATACGGTAGTGAAACTTGGACGCTAGCTCATGCCTTGGAATCTCGTCTTGATGCCTTTTATAACAGATCCTTGCGCCGGATCATGGGGTACAGTTGGCGGGACCATGTGTCCAACCAACGGTTGCACCGTGAGATTGGTACAGGACCTGTTACTTGCACAATCCGCGATCGCCAACTCAGGCTATACGGCCATCTGGATCATTTCCCGCAGGATGATCCTGCCCACAGGTTGTCTCTATTCGAGACAACCCAGGGTGGAGGAGGCTTGTGGGACGACCGAGGAAGTCGTGGCTTGGGCAGATCGATCAAACCTGTCGTGAAGAGCTAGAGATGGAAGAGGTGGAAGCGAAGGGTGGATGCGGCTAAGCGCTCCCGCCGGCGTTAGCTCCCCAATAATGAAAAAAAAAGATATATATATATGTATATATATATATATATATATATATATATATATATATATATATATATATATATATATATATATATATATATATATATCCATATACATACACACACACATCTCAAGGCCCTGATACAGGCCGTAGCCCACAAGTAGATAAAATTCCCTCACAGATTTTAAAATTAGAATACAAACGGAATTCAAAACTTACTAAGAAAAGGAGAGAACCACAAGCTTGCTCACACTGCAATAAACGTATGGCTTCTTACAATCCTTAAGTAAATAAAATGACTAATGTAAGACATAACTCAACAGCCTCAACTGAAGAAATGTGAAAGAAGAGGGATTAACAGGGGTTTAGCAGCAGATAGGGAGACAGTGGAGTTCATCAAAGGGAAGTATACAGTTCTATAGGACGAGTCAACCCCCCCTCCCCCCCTTCCTGGAGTTTAGTAGATGTGATACATTTTTTTTTTTTTTTTTATATCTTTTAAGTGTTTGCCCATACTATTGTTGAGAGAATAATAAATATGATTAAAGAAATTGATACTTTTTCCCTAGGCCTCATACCTGCCACCCCTACCCTAGAAACTATTACTTGCTATTACTAATGAACTCTACACCTAAGAGGCTAGGAACCGCTGATATAGGTTGTCCAGAAAGGTTACCTTTGCCATATTTTATTTTGTTTCAAATGTCCAAATATGATAGTAAAGTAAACTTAAACTTACTGATAATAAAATTGAAAAAAAAGGAAATTGTTTTGACCAAGTCCTCAACCTATCCAGACTTCATGTGCATATTCCAGATACTTTTCAATGAGCTTCATGATTTCCTTTCTTTCTTTTTCCTCAGTATGCACGAAGTTTGTCATCATATCCATACTTATATGAAATCTGATTTTCTTTCAATTAAACAAAAATACATTGATTTCAATATGTTATGCATATCTATTCTTTGAGGGGGAGGAGAGGGGTCCAAATATAATTCACATATTGATTAGTTGATTTTCAAAAACCTGATAAGGTAAATTTCAAGGAAAATGAAAAATTATATCTTCAGTTCATTTTTAATATCAACAATATAATCTGAAAATAACAATTCACAAAACTATACAATCACATATAGAAACTTCTTATACTAAAGCTAATACACTGGTTCTGAAGCACATTTTATATTATCAATAGAATCTCTTTGTCCTTAGATGAAAGAAAAAAATAATCATTGATGGCAAATATGTATGAAAATTAATAATGCAATAGTGCAAGGTATGTAACTTATATTTTCCATGTAACTCTGATGATGATTACTATTTTGATGTTACATGTAGCCTAATACAGTAATGTCAGTTATTCATTCTTTCCCTTTTTGTGAATAAGTAAGAATGAGAATGAATAACTATAGAATGTGAAATATGTGATTCATATCACATTATTGCCCTTAATTCTGTTGAAGTTGCACTATTAAAATGTTCATTGCATATCTTGTGGAATTATCATAATTCACATCTATGCTTACAAGAGAAAAAAAAAATTGAAAAATGCCTCTCTGCTCATATCTTTGACCGAGTAAGCCAGTCAAAATCCTGAGCCTTTCGCTGTGCCATGGGGTTGATCAGCACATTAATCAGCGATGGTTTCTGGGTCTCTGCAAGAGACAGCTTGACAGCAGACTCCAGCTCTGGGATAGTGGTGCAGAGGTGTCCTGATTCATTAAAGATTGAGGCCATGCGTTCATAACGTGCGCTTGGCAGCAGTGAAGTAGGTGGCGTTGCGATGGTGACATCCATTCCATCGCGGATGTCCTGGAAGAGTTCCTTGTCTAGGCCTCCATAGATACCTTTGTGGGAAGAGTGTAAGATTTGTCTTTTATCTTTGGTCATTAGTAAAAACATCATGATATTGCATAATTTGCATCTGAACCTTCTTAAAAAAAGAAAGCACTACATTCAAAAACTCAAAAATGAAGCCATCCAATCATAAATGCATAAATAATGGTAAATATTGCACAAAGCAAACCCATTCATTAATGCATTCAACCCAAACTTTCACCAACACTCACCATTATTATTGACAATAATGACAACGATAGGGAGGTTGTATCTATAAATGGTCTCCAACTCCATGCCGCTGAATCCAAACGCTGAGTCTCCCTCAACACAGACAACCCTCTGACCTGGGGCGTGGTCTCTGGCATAGAGGGCTGCGGCAATGGCAAAGCCCAGACCCACCCCCATGGTCCCAAAAGTGCCTGCGTCGAGTCTATGGCGTGGAAGCCTGGCGATGGAGATGGTAAAGAAATTTGTAAATTTTAAAATACTTGGTACTTGTTATGTGTGCACTCAGACATACAGAAACACAAATTAAGATAAGAACATATATTGAGTTGTGAATATAAATAATGGATATAACTTAATCCAAACCATTCCATTAATCCTTTGGATATCAAAAAGAGGCAGAGAAACACTCCTCAGCAAGGAAAATTTCCCTCTCTATATTCCACTACTTCATGCTGCAGTTCTTACCTATTCAGCAGAAATGTCCGACCAATGTCCATGGTGTTGGCTCCCTCGCTGACGATGATGCTGTCTGAAGGTAATAGTTGTTGGAGGTGGCTAAACACTGCATAGTAGTTCAGAGGGACTGATACATCTTCAGCCATGGCCTAGTAAGGATACAAGTGATAATTAGGTAAAAAAGTGAAAATAAATGAAGGGGAAATTAATTTGTTGCCTACAACTGCTAATATAAATTCATTAAAATATCAAAATACAATAACTTGTTACAAATATTTATAATAACATAATTTTTGTAATCAAAATAAATACCTTTAATAATTACCACCATCTTAGCAGTTATATCATGTATTATCCAAAGTCCTTTAAAATTAGACATTGTACAAGCCCAAAACAAAATACAAATATCAATCATTACACGATAAATATATAAAACATTCCACTGCAAACAAGCCCCCTCCTTCACTCACTCTATTAATCTGCATATTTGCCTGTGCTTTTTCCTCCAACCTAGCCCACCAGGGTGAGTCATGGGGGATAAGCTGGCCTGAAACCTCCTTCAGCAACTGGACACATATTGGCTTCAAATCTCCGAGGAGAGCTACGCTTGCAGTTACGCTGTTGTGGAATTCCTCTGGGCATAAGTCTACCTGTGAGAGAAGAAATTGGTTGACCGATAATTATTTATGAATTATTCATGGTTAAATATGATAAGATGTGCTTCTGTTTATCAACTCATTTCCCAACATCAGGGGATGCATGGGGACATGCATCTTTCATCACACACAGAGAGAGAGAGAGAGAGGGAGAGAGAGAGAGAGAGGGAGAGAGAGAGAGAGAGAGAGAGAGAGAGCGAGAGAGAGAGAGAGAGAGAGAGAGAGAGAGAGAGAGAGAGAGAGAGAGAGAGAGAGAGAGAGAGAGAGAGAGAGAGAGAGAGGAAGAGAGAGAGAGAGAGAGAGAGAGAGAGAGAGAGAAAGAGAGAAAGAGAGAGAGAAAGAGAGAGAGAAAGAGAGAAAGAAAGAGAGAAAGAAAGAGAGAAAGAAAGAGAGAAAGAAAGAGACAGAGACAGAGAGAAGAAAAAAAAGAGAAGAAAACAAAGAAATTTAGAAAAATAAAATTCCCTCACATGGATGAACTTGACCCCAGGAGCGAATCTGGGAGAGCGTCCAAAATGCAGCATCCAGTTGAGTCTCGCCCCAAGAAGCAAGATGACATCGGCTTCCAAGAGAGCGCGAGACCTTGCAGCGGCAACACACTGGGGATGATCATCAGCCACTACCCCTTTACCTAAAAAGATACAAATTTTATAAAGCTCTTTGTGGAAATGAATACCAGACAGATATATGTTCTATGGATATATATAAAACTGCCTATGGAAAACTGAAATTGGACATACAGAATATAATGTTTATGGATATATGGTTGTCTGGAAACACATGATAGACAGAATCATGTTTTATGAATATCAGTGCTAACTAGATGTGTTTTTGGGGTATAAAGCTATCTGTGAAAATTTGGCCTAGACTGATATAAGGTCTACTGGTATAAAATAATCAGTGGAAATTAATGCTAGACTGATAAAAGTAAAAATACTATATTTTTTCTTGTTTAATTCTAATTGGAATTAGTATTTTGATAAATGTATAATAATCATAAGGTCAATTATAATAGTAATTGTATCAATTTTAATAGCATTAGAAAAAAAAATCCCTAAAACTGACTCCTTGGAGCCATCTGTGTGCAACAAAATTCTCAAGGGTTAAAAAAGAAAAAGAAAAAATATATATGTGCAAACACATACACACACACACACAAACACACACACACATATATATTTATATAATTCTTGGGACTTTGAAAAAGAAAGAAAGAAAAGAAATAACTCTTAAAAACTTAGCTGTAGCCATATTTGGCTCTACTGAATACTGGATAAAACAAAAGCCTAGTTAAAGATTGATTCTAATGCATCAATTTTTGGATGAGTAATGGTCTTTTTCATTTAAGTTTGTGTCAAAGTCTATAGCTAGGAATACTGCACCCTCCCTAACAATCCTCACCCATAGGTGTGGGCAGGAAAGGCAGTCCTGTCTTCTCGATCAGAGCTCTGACTTGGTCCTCGGCACGTGCATAAGCAGCTCCCTTTCCCACAACGATCAGTGGCCTCTTGGCACCTGACAAGAGTGCCGCTGCTTCTGAAACTTTCTCTGGGCAAGCCAATGACACTGGTGGGGCAGGGTTCCTGTCAATAGAGATGTTTTGGTTTCGAGGGATATTGTGATGATGTCAACAAAGGTCCTATGGTTCTTTAACAATGATGAAAACTGTAACAATGCAAAAGTTGAAAACATGCAGAAGTTTCCTCTTTTTTACTTAAATATGTATTCTACATTCTTACATTGCATCACATTACACATTCCTGATCTGTATTATAAAAACAAACTTTAAAGAGTTAAGGCATTAAAGAAAAAGAAGAAAAAAAGCAGTAACTCATCAAACTCATAACCAAAACATATTAATTCACAAGCTTGTAAGCAAGCACACTCACGCACCTTGGAAATGGCTGGATTGAGCTCTCACTTGTCTTCTCATTCAACAGATTTCCGGGGAAGTCCAAATAAGCAGCTCCTGGACGTCCATAAGTAGTGGATTTGATGGCCTTTGCTACGTGGTAAGGGATTGTGTCGAGCCTTGGGGGGCGGGCGGAGTATTTACAGTACAGGCGACATGCTTCCACCTTCAAAAATGTGAGAATATTTAGATAATACTGTCAGAGGCAGCAAGGTACTGTTAAAATATATATTTCATGTACATTTGGAGATTATAATGTGGTGTGTCCATATGTGGTTCCTTATAAACTGGTGATGCAATACTCCTTGCAAAACATATATAGCAAAAAACACCATCATCATTCACTAAAGATATTTCTTTCCTACATCTTATTCATCAATTTGGCTTCCAGACCTGATATTTTTCAAGATTATCTCAGGAATCTACAGGTAAGATACAGCTTTATGTTATAAATTACAACCACACAGTATGAACCTATTAACACCATTCCTTGAATTTTTGGAAGAGAAGTGTTTATTTTCATTACTATAATTACCGCTGATAATGTTATACAGTAATATCAGTAATGATGAATGTCATCACATCTCACTTGCAGGCAGGCCTAAGCAAGGTTAAAGTTTTTTTTTAGCAAAGGTATATCTTATAAATAGTATTTTATAGCTTTGTTCATTAGCATATTGCATAAATCCAAATTAGTTTGTTGGAATATAATTTACATCTCTACATGGAGATGGGAACAATGTTCTGAAATTGTTTTTGTTCTTGTTTTATGTTTTTTTTGAACTGTGGGCAAATATTCTTCAAGATGCTGTTCAACTGGAATAGTATGAAGAAGAACCAGTGAGATGGAGACTAAGGATGCTGGTCAAGATTTTATGTGAAGATTTTATATACATACCTTTGTACCTTTACTCTAAATTACTTGTATCCACAATACTGTAGTATAACATACCATCAACAACATCAAAGCTAAGTTAAAAGACTAAGGAACTGCAGCATTTTGTGGTCATATGCACTAAACAATTCTATGCAACAAAGTACATAGACACAATGCCACCCAAAGGAACAAAATTGCAACCCCTGACCTGCGGGCACTCCTGGAAGGCACCGCAGCCCTCCTGGTCCTGGTCGCTTGAGCCGCCAACAACCAGCACCGGCCAGGCATTACTCTGGGCATTGGCCATCCCCCCTATGGCATGCAGAAGGCCAGGGCCCGAGACCACAAGACAAACCCCTGGACGGCCAGTTAGGTATCCTGAGGGGGACAGAGGGAAGTAAAAAAGAGCTCCTGTGACAAATGAAGAATAGGTATGAGTAAAAATGAATAATTTCAAAGTTATTGCATCTTTTTAAATTCAAATTCTGAGGTATTCATAAAGATGTAATACTGAAACATAATTAATGTTAGATTGTGGAGTCATTATATCTCCTTCATACCTTTTCTACAAAAAGAAGTAAAATTAAGTATTTGCTATAAAACCACTATGCTAACATTTATAGATTCCTTTAGATCTCTCCGCAGAAATGACAAGTTAGATATAAATATTAGATATAAATGCTTTCAAAAAGTCTGAAAGACAGTGTTACCCATTAGTTACCCATGCTGGTTCCAAAATAGGTATCACTATACAAAGAAGCATGATTTAGACATCCACGAATGATAAATCATTTAATGTAAACATTATCTACAGGGAGTTGCTGAAACATCATGAAGGGCTCATTGGTTTTAAAAAATCAATGTTAGGGTTGTCTATGAATATCTGGCTTGATATCATAAACTTTATGAAAATCTGTTAAATGTTTCTGGTACTCAATAATATTCATGTCACAGGAAGGTAAGTGTAGCAATCTCTAAAAAGTTCCTTTCCAAAGTCTCTAGACACATTAATTTGAGTATTCAATAATCAAAGTACATTTCAGAAAAAAAAGCAATTGTAAAGTTGAAAAAATACAAAAAAAGAGAGAAAAGCAATAATGAAAGTAAATAGAAGAAAGAAAGAAGAAATCTCACCAATAGCTTGTGCTGCGTAACATGCTGCTTGTTCATTGCGCATTCCAATATACTTGATTCCTGCTTGCTGTGCTGCTACTGCCACCTCGACAACAGGAATTCCAACAATCTGGAACCCACAATAGTTATAAATATGGTGGCTTTCATCACCTCTTCATTCACTCTCTTTACTGAATTATTATTAGATTATCATTATTATTATTATGTATCTATCTATCTATCTATCTATCTATCTATCTATATCAATCTATCAATATCAATCAATCAATCAATCTATCTATTTTTTTGAGTCTCCTAATTCTGGAACCACACACATACACACTCACATAGCATATCGGTGAAAATCAGTACCATATAACAACCATACATCATCCTAACAACCAAGCAACATATCAATTAATTTTACAAAGGAATCTCCATTACAAAGCGAGCATAAAATGAAGCTGAAAGCACGAGGCACAGTCCTTACTTACCCCAAACATGTACTCTACTCCTTGATCGACAAGAGCATTCACTAAAATGTGAGCTCCGTCTGTCTCCTCATCGGCCATTTTTCTCTCTGTTGATTGTCCAGAAATTTATATAAACATACATAATAAAGCAAATGTACATAATTAAGACACAAAAGTAAAAGGAAACAATAAAGTAAACATCTGATTGGTTGGGTAATGACATCAAATAAATATATAAAATGGCAACACGTAGAGAAATATATTACAATAACAATAATGATGAAAATATCAATAATGATAATAACAGTAATAACAACAATATCAACATAAATGGAAAATACCTAAAAAATCCAACAGACTTGAAAAATACCCACTCTTAGCTTCAGCACTTGGATGATGTCAGAAAGAGGTTTAAATTGTCACGCTTAAGGCTGTCTTTAGGTACTGGAGACAGACCTCATCTTCTCTGTTATCTTGTTAACCTGGAGATAATGAAAAAATATATGAGCTTGAGATAACTTCCAAGATCTAAGATTAGTACAGAATGATGATAAGTGGATACCTTATCACACTGGTTTTGAGTTTGGAATAATGTCTATAGTCTTTATAAAGAGGCCTAGCAAATACTGAAAGTAGGAATTTCACACTATGATACTATAATGAAACTCACTAGTAGGATATATACTATATCATGATTGTACAGGAGATGAATCTTATCTTATCAAATTCCTCATGGACAGAGTAGTGTGATCTGAACTGAACTTTGCTACTTAGATCAGATATGAATTAATCTTTTTAATGATTTGATAAGATTCAAATAACATCCCTATTATCAAAATAAAAGGAAAATGTATATCTAAATAGCAGGAGTTAACAAATTCACATACAAAGAGGGATTTAATAGTGTAATTTTTGTATCCAATATAGCATAAATATAGAATTTTGATTCTTCTGAAAAAAGTCAGACATGGTGAGACACTGACCTATACATTAAAAAAAGGGGTGAAAAACTATCCTACTCTTTACCCTAACTTAATGGGACTAGTCATTATTCTGACGGAAAAGAAGGTAAATTTCAAGTTTTTCTTAGATTCATTTGCTCTGTTATTTGCATATATTATTTTCCTTAAAACTGGCTAAAACTTAACTCAAAGAGTTCTAAACAATCAAAACACAAAATACAATGATCATAATAATAACCTCTGTTGTGGCCCTAAGCCCCTCAAGAGTTTGTGATTCACATTCGCTGGATATTCATCTTTTGATTAAGGAAGAAAATATCGTGAATGCAAATCTGACTCGTTTCAAATACTTCAAAACCTCTGTCTTGCACTCACTTCAAAAGATGGCACTCAGTTGGCAACTCTTAAATCATATGGCAAATTAATCTTTAAAACATACCTCCCACGTCAAAATGGAACCTACATAATACTCAATCACTCTATTCCTTCACAAAATCCTGCTCAAAAATCATCATG